TTCAACAAAACATAACATAAGAGTGTTTGAAGTGAAACTGATTTGTTGGGTTTTAGAAGCGTGAACTATTTGCAGTATGTTAATAGTGGAATGGTGACTTTTTAATGTCTCAGGGACCCCTCATGACTATGTGGACCCTTTAAGTTGGCTGCTTGTAGTTAGGTCAGAATAAACACTTTATACACTAGGTATATTTTATCCCAATATAATATATAAAGATACATACTTGAGAACAGCAGTATATTGTAGTGCTTTGCTAAGTCAGCATAAAGGGCCGTAGGCAGGGTTTTATAATCACAGAAATCCCAAAGGTGTTCCCAAATTTGAGGTAGTTAGGGGGGTGCGAGGGGAATCTCGATAAATTTTGACATTTTCACAACTTTGAAAAGATTCCTGGAGATCTACCTACCTGCAAAGTTCAGATCCAACACATGTCTGTAATTATCAAGTGCTCCTGCAGATCTTAAAGGATTAGTTCACTTTGAAAAAACTTTTGCTGATAATTTACTCACCCCCATGTCATCCAAGATGTCCATGTCTTTCTTTCCTCAGTCGAAAAGAAATTAGGTTTTTGATGAAAACATTCCAGGATTTTTCTCCATATAATGGACTTCAGTGGGAACCGGATGGTTCAAGGTCCAAAAGACAGTTAATAACAGTTTCAGATGCAGCTTCAAATGTCTTTAATCGACACCAGACGATGAATAAGGGTCTTATCATGCTAACGATCGGTTATTTCAAACTTATCCAAAAATGTAACTTTCTAAGGACAAATGCTAGCCTTGCTCTATTCTGTGAGGCGCGTTTGCAACGTCACGTAATACGTAATTACGTTCAAAAAGGTCACGGGCGACGTAGCCGAAAGTACAGAGTCAGTGTTTACAAGTTGAACGCATAGGTTGAACGTGCAAAACTAACTCAAACGCCGTTTACAAAAAAAGGAATTAAAAGGAAAAACAACGATGTCGGACGATTTTGATTCTGTACTTTCGGCTACGTCGCCCGTGACCTTTTGAACGAAATTACGTATTACGTGACGTTACAAACGCGCCTCAGAGAATATAGCAAGGCTAGCATTTGTCCTTAGAAAAGTTACATTTTTGGAATAAGTTTTGAAATAACCGATCGTTTCGCATGATAAGACCCTTATTCATCGTCTGGTGTCGTTTAAAGACATTTGAAGCTGCATCTGAAACTGTTATTAACTGTCCTTTTGGACCTTGAACCATCCGGTTCCCATTGAAGTCCATTATATGGAGAAAAATCCTGGAATGTTTTCATCAAAAACCTAAATTTCTTTTCGACTGAGGAAAGAAAGACATGGACATCTTGGATGACATGGGGGTGAGTAAATTATCAGCAAAAGTTTTTTTCAAAAGTGAACTAATCCTTTAATTCTCAATATTCACTTAAAATTCAATAATATTATTGATCTGACTTTACTGACACTGCTGGATGAGAACTGAAATGAGCTGGACCATGACATCATTTTTTACAGAACTAAATGAACTAATGAACTAATTTAATAATTGAACTAATGAACTAATTTAATAATTGAAATGAACTAATTTAATAATTGATGATCTTTACAACAGTACTAAATCAACATTGAACTGACTTCAGCTAAAGCTAAACAACAGCTGAAATGCATAATTTTCCTGAAACAATCTTTATTGTATAAAGCACTATATAAATAAAGGTGACTTGTCTCTGCTTGACATTACTTTCCACCACTGTGCATTATGGATGTTGAAGTTTCCCAATCTATTTTGCAAATGGGAAGACAATTCTCTCTGTTTTCTCTAGTCAGATAGCACTGATTTCAAATTAGTTTTCACCTTTCTACTGCATAGGCAGCCAAGTTTTATTGAAAGTCCATTTACCCCTTTAATTATATAATATGTTTGCTTTATAAATGTCATCGTCTTGTGCACTAGTGGGCCACTGTAGTATACTGGTGAATCAATTATAATGCAACACAAAATTCACATTTCATTTCAGATCCACATTCCAGGGTTATTCTGAAGACTAAGAAATCAAATGACCCGCTCAGCAGTTACATTAACGCCAACTACATACGAGTAAGTTTTCAGTGACACAGTCACAATTTTTTCAATAGCCTATGCCAAAGAGCCTCTTAAAGGATTAGTTCACTTTTGAAAAAACTTTTGCTGATAATTTACTCACCCCCATGTCATCCAAGATGTCCATGTCTTTCTTTCCTCAGTCGAAAAGAAATTTAGGTTTTTGATGAAAACATTCCAGGATTCTTCTCCATATAATGGACTTCAATGGGAACCAGACAGTTAATAACAGTTTCAGATGCAGCTTCAAATGTCTTTAAACGACACCAGAAGATGAATAAGGGTCTTATCATGCGAAACGATCGGTTATTTCAAAGCTTATTCCAAAAATGTAACTTTTCTAAGGACAAATGCTAGCCTTGCTATATTCTCTGAGGCGCGTTTGTAACGTCACGTAATACGTAATTACGTTCAAAAGGTCACGGGCGACGTAGCCGGAAGTACAGAATCAAAATCGTCCAACATCGTTGTTTTTCCTTTTAATTCCTTTTTTTGTAAATGGCGTTTGATTTAGTTTGCAACGTTCCAACCTATGCGTTCACTTGTAAACCTTGTACCGTGACCTTTTGAACGTAATTACGTAATACTGACGTTGCAAACGCGCTCACAGAATAGAGCAAGGCTAGCATTTGTCCTTAGAAAAGTTACATTTTTGGAATAAGTTTTGAAAATAACCGATCGTTTCGCATGATAAGACCCTTATTCATCGTCTGATATCGTTTAAAGACATTTTGAAGCTGCATCTGAAACAGTTATTAACTGTCGTTTGGACCTTGCCATCCGGTTCCATTGAAGTCCATTATATGGAGAAAAATCCTGAATGTTTCAATCAAAAACCTAAATTTCTTTTCGACTGAGGAAAGAAAGAATGGACATCTTGGATGACATGGGGGTGAGTAAATTATCAGCAAAAGTTTTTTCAAAAGTGAACTAATCCTATAATGTTCTTCTTGAGGTAACTTAACTTAAATCTACTACATCAGAAAATAAAACCTTAGTGAAAACATTAAAAAAGAAAAGTGAAACATTATAAACAAGAAAGTTTAATTTCATGCCAAAGTATCGAAGAGTCTTGTTGCTCTAACTTGGCTCTGATGGTGATTGATACTTAGCTCACCTCCATTATGTCATTATATCTGTTTAAGTTCGGCACTTTTTTTTTGTCCAGGGCTATCTTGGAGATGAGAAGGCCTTCATTGCCACTCAGGGTCCAATGATCAACACGGTGAATGACTTCTGGCAAATGGCTTGGCAAGAGGACTGCCCTGTCATTGTCATGATTACTAAATTGAAAGAGAAAAATGAAGTAATTTCAATTCAAAAGATCCACAAAGCTCTTAGTATGACTAAATAGACTGTGTTTTCCCAAAGATTTTGTTTTACTGTTTCAGAAATGTGTTCTGTACTGGCCTGAGAAGAGGGGGATCTATGGGAAAGTGGAGGTCTTCGTTAATAATGTTAAAGAATGTGACCACTATATAATCCGCTCCCTTATACTAAAGGTATTTGCATTATAAGTAAAAGTAATAATCCAAAAGAAATACTATTGTCAGATACTCTAATGGATCATGTGTTTTGATTCCCTCAGAATGGAGGCCAGAGTCGTAAAGTGCAGCACTACTGGTATACCTCATGGCCGGACCAAAAGACCCCAGAGAGTGCTGGACCCCTGCTGCAGTTAGTCAACGATGTTGAGCAGGACAGGAGGGGCTTTACATCCTGTGGGCCGATTATTGTACACTGCAGGTTCAGTAACTTATCAGCAAAACATTAGAGGAGCATTTCACCCATTTCAACATTAATCTTTATTGAAAGTGGATCATATATGTAGTCGAAAAGTAAAAGAATTTTTGAATTTGGTGCCCTCTTGACCAAGAAAAGAGTCGTAGAGGCGCATTCTTTCAAAACTAACGGAAAATCAACTTGAAATCAACGCGTTGTTTCAACGTTATGACAGCAAACCAATTTTCGATTTTAATTAAAAAATCTGCGTCTGACGTTGGTTCAACGTTAATTCGATGAGCAAAATCAACGTTGTTTCAATGTCATGAGAGACGTTGTTTCCACGTTGATTCAATGTCAGTTTGCTATCTGGGTGGATGTTCAGTCAGGCGAAACTGGGATGGTTCACATCACAACACAAACGCCCGTTTGCTCATCTGATTCAGAGATTTCGCAGCAGACGGACTCTATCTGTGTTCGTAGTTCACAGCGAGAGCACATGCACCAGCAGTCCGCCCAGGTTGAGTCAGTTTGGGCTCCTCGACCGCGACAGGCAGCCGCCTCCTGTTCCTCCATCAGCCTCAGCTGCTCTTCACTATACTGCGACTCATAAAAATAGCTACGAACATCGGATTCGAGCAGCAGAATTTCAGAATCCTCTTCTTCCATATCATGTTTAGTTTCTTCCGTCATTATCATACTTCCTATCTCCACAGCGTTTGTTAGCTTAGCTTCCAAACAAGATGGCTGATATTGATTCAGTTTCTGCAAGTGAAGTCCTACCCACTGATCTGTAATAGGCCTGTAGGGTGAGTGGGTGCCACACCCTTGAATAATGAGGAGCTAATGTTTGTAGTCTCTACACTTTTTAATGAAATGTGACTTCCTGCTTATTATGATGCAAAATGACGATTTTTACGTCATAATAAGCTGGAAGTAAAACACTTAAATCCTTATTTCTCCCATCTCAGGGGAAAATAAGAGAATAAACCATGACCATTCAAAAATATGACTGGGTTTCTAAAGATACAAAGCTTAATGCAAATGGGTGAAGTGTCCCTTTAAAAAGTGTCTACTGGTTGATGCACTGTATATAAAATATAATTCATGTTTTATGGTGGAAAACTATGATAAAACAAATATAATCCAGTGCTTGGTAAAAAAAAAGTGCTTGAAAACCATTTAACTCACCTTTGAATTTTTGCAGTGCTGGAATTGGTCGGACAGGGTGTTTCATGGCTACAACAATTGGTTGTCGTCAGTTGGAGCTGGAGGGAGTTGTGGATGTGCTGGGAATTGTGTGCCAACTTAGGACAGACAGGTACAAATGTTTTACTGTTTTTCTATTAAAATTTGTGACTGTTTCGCTGTTCAGCTATTGAAATGTTAATGTATTTGGTCTTCGCGTCCTAGATCTCCAATGTTGCTGAATACTGCTGTTGATTATTGAGCAAGTATGGACTTGCTACTGCTAATTGATACACAGGCACACTACTGTGAGCATGTTAGATATGCTGCTGCTGCATAAATAGACATACATAAATCCCGTGGCAGATCTAGGCAGGTGGAGCTGAAGGAGGTGAAAGGTTAGAGAGAAAGCATACAGGCTGGTATTTTGGTTACACATTGAACTTCATCTTGCTTTCTCCACGTAAACCGTCACTGGATGGAAAGACAAAGAACATTACTTACTGTAACACATCCAATATTACTATAAATGCAGTATAATAAACAAGAATTTCCAGTATTTTCACTGTGAATAGAGGGAAAACTATGTCTTAGTCTTTTCAGATTATGCTGATTACATTACACAGGAATATTTTAATATCAACATTAACATATTACAAATGTTTGGGGAAAAACACAGGATCCAGTCACAAATGCAAATTCACAGTTTATTGGAAAAAGAGGAAAAATAAGCAAGACAGATGTAGTCATGCAGTGAATCAGATTGCAAAGTTTAGGGTAAATATTTTGATTGACGAAAATTTGACTGAATTTGGATTGACGAAAATCTATGTAAATAACAGATTCATGATTTTATCTCATTTTACAAAATGTCCCAACTGTTCTGGAAATGTGGTTGTACTATACCATTATTTTGAAATCAACATACAGTATGCACTTTTATTTTCAACAAAACATAACATAAGAGTGTTTGAAGTGAAACTGATTTGTTGGGTTTTAAAGCAGGTGAACTATTTGCAGTATGTTAATTAGGGTTGGGTATCGAGAATCGAGTATCGATTGGAACCGAGACTAACTTTTCGTTTTTCCCGGAATCGTTCAAAAGTTAAAATTTCGATTCCTAGTTTCGATATTCACAGTCCGCCGAGCGGAAGAAGAAACCGCTGAACAACACCAACGAAGAAGCGTCTACCGGAAGTGTTGGCATAACCATGCAAGTCGAACACGAGTACCTTACGTCGGCGATTCAAAGTGTGGCTTCACTTTTCTAAAAATAACGAAATCTCGGCAAAATGCAAAATTTGTGATAAAAGGAGTATTTTTACAGAAGGAGTATTTCCTTCAGAAAGGATTATTTCCTTCAGAAAGGCCGTTGGTTAGCAAGGTTAGCTAAACTTTTTTGACCCTGCCTCTTAAAAGAATCAGAATCGAGAATCGTTAGGAACCGGAATCGAAACAAGAAATCAGAATCGGAATCAAAATCGTTCAAATTCAAACGATACCCAACCCTAATGTTAATAGTGGAATGGTGACTTTTTAATGTCTCAGGGACCCCTCATGACTATGAAGAGCTACAGAGATAGCAGCAGGCCTTGGCAGCAAGGAGAGACTACACTGATGTCTGTCAATATCCTGAAACAGCAAAGCAGCCAGTAATTCCCACTCGAACAGGAAGCAAACACATAGGAAAAGAAGACTTGAGAGAATACTGACGGAACAGAATGGCAATGAGCACAAGAACGATCTGACAAGGAACACAGGAAATACATGACTAGATATGGATGACAATAACGAGCTGCAAGTGTGGTTAGTCTGATTAGCTCGTCAGCGCAGTTAGTAGCTAGGCAATGGTGACGAGCAATCAAACCAGTGACAGAAACACAACAAAGCCATGTCAGAATGTACACACAGACCCGTGAACCATGACAGTACTCCTTCCCCTAAGAGCGCCAGCTCCTGACTTTCCCTGGGGAAATTGCCTGACGATTGTAATCATTGATGAGGTAGTGATCCAAATATCCCTTGCAGAAACCCAACTCGTCTCCTCCATACTATAACCCTCACAGTCCACCAAGTACTGGAACCATCACCCCCCTTCGCCTTGAATCTAGAATACGATTGACCGAATAAGCAGGTTTCCCATCTACATTTTGTAGCAGTGGGGGAACTGGAGCGGGCGGATTAAAGGTGGAATACCTAAGATTTTTGCATTCAAATATCCCAAAATCACAAGGCCAGTGTTATATATTTAGTTATGATGATAACTCACAATATTCCAAATGTTTCAAACAATGTTTAATTCGCGAGAAAATTGAGATTTTAACCAAGGAAACGGGGCGTATGAGCAGGGGTGAGCTGGGAGTCGCCAGTCAATCGCGTCATATCCGCTTACCTCGGTTTCCGCTCGTACTACGTGTAGTCCTGGACAAATGCGGTAGTTGTAGTTGTGCGTTAGCGTCTATCAAGCAACAAACGTCAGCTTGTTTCGCGCATTTGTTATGGAATGGAGCACAATTATTCTTTTCATTTATTCTCGGAATGTGAACTGTTGGCTGTAAAGGGGGTCGCACACCGGACGAGAAGCGCCGCGCCACGTTTAGGACAACTCCACAGTAACGTTATCGAACACCGGACGCTCACTTTCTCATCAGTGTATGGCCAGCAATATTGTTCTGTTTAATGACATGAAATGAAGATAATGTCTGTTCTATGTTATGATTGTATTGTACAATTAAATACAATCGTTGCTGAGTTTGCATTCTGAAAACTTTACCTCAGAGCATCCGTTCACTGAATGAATTGAGAATCTCACCTGCAAAATCTAATAATAACATCAGCAATTGTCATTCAAGCAGCTGATTTCTGTAAATGACTGCAAAACTAAATGCATATTGCAGCATAGGGCGAAGTCAGGATCCATTAGCAACGATTTGAGACAAAAATAATTACAATTTTATATAAAACTATGTAAATGGCGCTCTGTGGCGCAGCAGGATTTTGAACACGGTCCTGAGACGTTGCTGGGCGCCGCGGACAGATGCCGAATGGCGCCGCCGGTATGTGTAACGTTACACTTATAGATAATAACGTTTTCGAATTTTAAACATGTGGCGCGACGCGGCGCTGCAGCTTCTCGTCCGGTGTGCGACCCCCTTAACGTTAATTTTGTGAAACTGTAGCTGTGGTTGAATACTTACACGACATGAAAAGATGTGTCAAATGTACATTAAATTGATTTTTTATTTTTATAAAGTTACCAAGGAGGACCAGCCACGTCAACTCCTTGCAAGAGACCTGCCCCTTCAAACCCTCTCCACCATAGCTTCGTCCAGTGACTCGTACAGTAACTAATTTACTTTTAAACCTTACTTTTCTTGCCGTTATTTCAGTTTAATGAAAAACAAGCATGTCATTAAACAACACGTTTATAGAAATCGAACTTTACCTCATCCATGACAACTAATTTTCGATTCCCGTCTGACTGATTTATCCACGGTGGAGTTGAAAACAACAGTTCCCATCATTCCGCGTTCCTCCACGTCGTCATCAAGCAAAGCCGTTGTTGTTGTTTTGAATGTAGCGCCCTCTAGCGGCATCTAAATCTTAGGTATTGCAGCTTTAATGGTAGAATGAAAAGCGCAAATAAAAACGGGTTTTAATTTAGAAACATGAAAGAGAGGACGACTTCTGTATGCCGGAGGATGATTAAGCTGGACTGCCACTGGACTAAGAATCTTTTTGTTGACAGTAAATGGGGTTCTGAATTTAGGAGCAAGTTTATTACAGATGGTGAGCAATGTGGGAACAGGGTCTTGAAGGAAATGACAGTGAGTCCAGCAGGAGGTTGATTGGAAGTCTTATACAACTGGGACAAACGGTGCAAGCCAAATCAGAGCGACGTATGTTGCAAGTCATAGCTTGCCACCAGAACCCTTTCTTTATGAGAAACATGGTACGACTCACCTCCGGATGACAAGCCACCTTAGAACATTACAATGACCCCATCAAATGACGTCGGACCATAAACTCTCAGGCACGAACAAACTATCTAGTGGAAACCCGGGCGGACGCATTACCCCAAGTAAGGCAGCGCAGACCTTCAACTCAATCTCCCAAGTTACCATTGAAACCACAAATTTAGGATGGGCTCAGGAAAATGCAGGCTTTCAGATTTGTCAAAAACACCGGACAACATGTCGGGTTTGGGTTGGCAGTAGGAAATGTAAAAATCTAACTGGCTGGAAAAAAGATCTGACCCACCTGGAGAAGAGTCTCCCTGACCATTCTCCAGTTGTCTCTGCACCTCTGGACGAATTTGTGAGCGGAGGGAACCGCGACCTCGGATTCCAGACTAGGAAAAATTGGTGGCTGGTGACCTACACTTAAACGAAGACAGGCCCGTGGACGACACTGGTAATGAGTTACGAGCGTACTCAACCCATGAGATATGCTGACTCCAAGAGGATGGATTCTGTGACGCTAACCATTACGCTGAAAGGCAATCAGATCAGCACAGTAGACACACAGAATGAACAGGCAAAACCCGCGAACCATGACAGTCTGTCCCTCTCCTAATATGATCTTTATCTGTTCTATTTCAGTCATGGCTGTAAAGTTCTTTATTAAGTTAATTAATTTGTTTAACGAAGCCAATCTGACTTGGGCTCAGGACATCTTTGTTTCTGTAAGATGCCATAAAAACAACCTTTTCTTTCAGTAGCAAAAACAATAATGGCATTTATCAGTATAACAATGTACCTGCCAAAACAAGATTTTCATCAAATTGAGACTCGCCTGTAATCGCGTGGTGTTTCTTTTTCTCCGCAGGGGTGGTATGATCCAGACCGAGGAACAATATGAATTTGTGCACCATGCCTTGAGTCTCTATGAAAGCCGCCTTCCTGCAGAGCCTGGACAATGAATTTGAACTCCTAGAGGAGCTTCAGTTTTCTCACCGAGAGATCTGCTATTGCTATGAAGTTTCTAAATCAAGAGAGAAGGCGCCAGATCGTGTTCGTGAAGAAGGATTTTTGTGCTTGTCAAGGCAAGGGTTGCACACATCTGATGTTGTCTGGAAGCCGGTGTTGTCGGCAAATGTATTAGTTGTCATAACTTTTCAATAGCCTCTGTCATGCTTTTCAAGGCTGTCAAATGGTTTTGCCACTAGTGTTAAAGTGTATCAGTGTCATTGTACAAGATATAGTTCCACTAAATAATGCACAATATACACAGCATAAAGACTATCAGTTTTCCTTCATTTTTTTCCCTGATTATAGGTTTTAAAACCGTGGGCATTTTAAAAATTACTTATTATACTAATTATTGTCTTTATGCTGCAGAATAAATGAGGTATTAATATTCTGTGTATAATAGTATGATCGTGTTTTATCAAAATACTTTTTTTTTTCATTTTTGTACCAATTTATTAACAGTTTAAGAGCATATTCTTATGCTGATGCAGAACACAATTTTGAAATATTCTGTTTCCTGTTCCTGCTGCATAATCTACATCTGCAAGTTCAAAGTCTGAATTGATTTTTATGAGAGAGAAAGACTATGACTCAACATTTATATTGCATTGTCATCACTGTAATGCACAACAACAAACCAACAGCAAAACAGCAAATGGCTCTTATGAGTGGGTTCTTTTAAATAACAAACAAATATGGAATTCAGGATTTTTCGGTTTACAGACAGTCTATTAATCAGTCTAGAGACTCACTAAATCTGTCACCGATTGCGGAACCAAAATTATTAAGTGGATTAAAATGTAATTAAAAAAAATCTTATTATTAGGGAAAAGAATCATAATAAAATTAATAAATATATATAAAGAAATAACAACAACAAAAGAAAATACATTTGAGGAAATTATGTAATTATATAATATAGCTAAATTTTAGGAGATTGTATTTGTATCTAGTGGTAATATTATTCTAGTGACTTATTAAATATTAGTGTTTGAATATTTCCCCCCAAATGCATACATTTGTTGTGTAATGTATTCCGGGACCACATGCGTTTTGCTGCTAATACTGCAATTGTTAATGGCTTTAGGAATTAATTATGTTGTATGAGAGTGAATATTTTTTAAAACATTTATTTTCTATTGTATTTATTATAATACAAATTATTGTTATTATAACCTGATACTTTTATAAACTATGGTTATTGTCATTGTGCACTGTTACGCAATATATTTTCCACTATGTGGGCTTAATGTTAGGCAGTCAGTGACTTTTTCCTATTTATCCTTTATGAAGATGAATGTGAATACTCTCAATAATAAACAATCCATCATAACCACAATTACAGTATTATAATCTGCACATATGGATGCCTCAGACAGTAAGGGTTGCAGTATAAGCAACCCAAACTGATGATCTGAGCTGTTTTATATGAATCTTTGGTGGTGGTAGAATTAATTAGTCTCGTATAATGGGATGTATATTATAAATGCATAACTTGGTCCCGATAATCCTTTAGAAGTTATTCGTCAGTGCTATACTACTATACTTTCCACTTATAGTGTGTTTGGTCCTATAACAATATTCAACCCTCACCTAAAGCCATAATATCTCATGTTTACATTTTTGGCACTGCAAGTTTTGATTTATATATGTTAAAATATGCTTATTCTGTTAAGTGTTTTTGTAAATAAATAAGTGAAACTGCCGAGTCAGAAAGCATAGAGAAACTATGATAATGATATGACTACTGCCAATAAATTAACCCTGTTATCATGTCTGGATCAGGGTTTTGTTCCTTATTTTTTAGACTCTTCTTTCAATGTTCATTTCATTCCATTGTGTACAGCTTCTTTTTCTTAGCTGCCTAGGTTTTTAATTCTTTAGTGAGAAATAGTTGATACTTTGAGTGTGTAGCAGAAGAGAAGGCAATTATACGGCTTGAAACTTGTGCAGCTATTTTGAACCAATAATGGGAACAAAAAGCAGTTGAATGATGACGTGCATTCATTTGTTTTATCTCCTATATAATGAATCTGACTCCATTAAAGTTGCAGTTATTCTTAAACCTCTTATTATTTAAAGGTAAAAGTCTTTCTTAGAACTGATAGGAAAGTGTAGGATTTAACCTGAACGTTTAGATAAAGTAAGTCACTTTAGTTTTCAACATTATCAGTGTTAAAATGAAACATTCTCAAAGCCTTTAAAGCAGGAAAAGTGGTGTGCAAGAGTGGCAATGTAAAAGCCTTTCTCAAAGATCAACAGTACCTTCTTTCTTTTTTTGTGTGTGATCAAAATTTTTATTTTATTAACCATACCAGGAATACATTAACTATATAGAGACAAATGCCATGAAAACGTCTGGGGTTACGGCTGTAACCCTCGTTCCCCGAGAAGGGAAAATCGACATTTGGGAATGCCTCCAGCGTGACGCGTCTGAAGCCTGTATGGAACTAGTCCAATATTGATTGTTATTGCGTCATGACATCACCCGTGACATCGAATGTTACAGTGAGCGGAAGGTATAAAAGGGGACCAGAACATAACAATGTCTGCTTTTGGTCCTGGCAAGTCGCTCTTTGGAGCGCTAGAAGTGTAGCCAAGGGACCCAGCGTCTCGTTCCCTTCTTACAGTCGTAACCCGAGACGTTTACCTTTCTCGGGAACTCGCGCTGCGTTGAAAATCGACACATTTGAAAACGAAATTCCCACTGCTCCACACTGAGAGAGTACGCCCTGGTTCGAAGCAATCTGGCACACCTAGGACGAGAGAACTTGAGACCCCGGAGTAGAGGGCAGATCCAGACTGTAGTGTCTAACAGTGATGCGCGGGTCAATGTATAAACAAACCGCAACCGACCGACGTTTTCAACTACCCGCCCGTAACTCGGACCGCAAAAAAAAGTAAAAAAAATATTGTACCCGACCCGCTTCCTGACCGCATTTTTTACAAGTAGTAAATGCTCATCGGAGCGTTATTGGGCCATAGACGTGTAACAACACAGCATCGCAAGAATAACAAAGGCAAAGCCAGCACTTTGGTCATCATATTTCATTATTTCAGCAAATGTCTCCCACACTTTTACTCTTTCTATTTGTGTATTTGCGGAGCTTCCACTCCCCAGTCTTCACCTTTTCTCTTGCCGCCTCCATCTCTGCAGACTGTAGTGATCATAGACATGGCCGGTTCGTGAACTAATCGTTCTTTTGAACCGGTTCTTTTTAGTGAACCGGTCGAACCTACACTAAATCGAACTGAATCGTTCGAAACAGTTCGCGTCTTGCGTCAGTGCTGATCCACAAGTTAGTTACTTACTTTCAGACATGCCTGACAGTCGCCTCCGAATCGAAATAAATCAATATCCTGAATTCTATTTTACTCCAGTAACTCCAACAGTTCACTGAACCGAGACATGTTGGTGCCACTGTTGAGAGAAGTGATGAGCACGAGCAGCTGATACTGCGTACTACCGAACGCACAGGGACAGCGGTTCTCGAATCACTAGTATAGAACCGAGAACTGTTTAGACTGAGCTTGTGTGTTATCTTCGTGCCAGTTATTCAGCCAATAATGTGTAGGGCTGTATATTTCATCAAAAATTGTGTCTAGTACTAATACAAATGTTTAATTGGCATCTTTTTTCAAACGACCCGACCGACCGCGACCCGAATATCATTAAAAACATTTTTGGATGACCCGTAACTGCGGGTAACCGCGGGTGACCGTAGGCACCCGCTCATTTTCGGATCAACCCGCGCATCACTGGTGTCTAATGAAGGTGTGAGGGGTAGCCTAGCCCATGGCATCGCAGACCTCCAGCAGAGAAACTCCTGACAGCAAAGCTTTAGAGGAAGCCACTCCACTAGTGGTCTCTTATTAGCAGAGGCAAAGGCAAGCTGTGCGCCTCGTGAGCTGAAGATATAGCCTCTACTATCCATCTGCTGATAGACTGCTTGGAAACAGGGGAGCCCTTCTTAGGTGACCCGAAACATACGAGTAACTGGTGCGCCTTCCTCCAGGCCGAGGTTCTATGAAAATAGACCTCCAGTGCTTGGACCGGGCACAGTAAATACTGTTTAGCTTGCTCATCCGACACATACGGTGGAGGATGAAACGCCTGAAGAACTAGACCATGCCACATTTGACATGGCACCTTAGGCACATAGCCAGGTCTAGGGTGGAGAATGGCCTTTAATTTGCCAGGAGCGAACTCGAGGTAAGAAGGAGCAACCGATAAAGCTTGCAGGTCCCCAACTCTTTTGAGGGAACTCTGGATTCTGGACTGGATGATAGGCCTCATCCTCCTTGCTCCACGAAGAAAACGTACAATAAGTGGGTGTCTCCCCAAGTTTCCCACCCCTAGAGGCGTGTGGAAGCCAGCTATGGCTGCCACATACGTAGATCTTAAGTGTGGATGGGGAGAGTCAGTTAGAAAAGTGACTCTAGAGGAACTCCAACACTGCAGCCACTGAGCAGTTAACTGGGTCCAACTAAAGTTCTCTGCACCATAAGTTACACACATTCCATTTCAATGCATATATTTTCCTTGTGGAGGGGTTTCTAGAGTTTAAAATGGTCTCAACAACCTCAGTTGAGAGACCACCATTTATGAGCTGGTCCCCCTCAGGGGCCAGACCCACAGCTTCCATAGTTCCAGCCGAGGGTGGAATATTGTTCCCCTGGCCTGAAAAAGAAGGTCTACTGATTGGAATTCGCCACAGAAGGCCATGATGTCAGGGAACCATACTCAGGCTGGTCAGTACGGGGCTACTAGGAGTAAGCTGATCCCGTATCACCGGACTCTCTCTAGAACCCCTGGGAGCAGAGCGATTGGGGGAAATGTCTGTACCATGGCATCCACCCCCAGGGGAGCTGGATGCAAAAGGGAGAACCAGAGTGGACAGTGAGTTTTCTTGTGAGAGGCAAATAGGTCCAATTCCACCTGTCCAAACTCCTTCCAGGACTCGGGGTGGAGTCTCCACTCCTCGGGCCTCAGCCCCTGCCTCGACAGGATGTCTGCTCCCACATTGCTGTCCCCAGGGATAAACATTGCTCTGACTAGAGGTCTTCTCGGGTCCTAAAAACTGTACCCGACCCGAATTGACCCAAATCACTACTTACCCAAACCTAACGTGCATAAATTATTTTTTTTTTAAAGAAAAACCGACCGGAGACAGACCCGATAAAATTAGACCCGAGTCCGACCCGACGCCATTTCCTTTAGAACCCGACTGGACCCGAACGTAAACGGCATTTACAGTGTGCACAACCTGCAGCCCTGCGTTTCTCAGCAAGTGCACGCTGAGTGCTAAAATGTCAATCACACATCACTGTAACCCTTTAAGTCCTATAACATTTGGCATAATGTTATTTACCGGACCACGATGATTAGAACCACCTCAGGGTAAAATTTACCAATGGCTGTTTTTAAAATAGCCTACAGATTTTCATTCAAATTCTACCAGTCATTGACTTTTACTAAAATTGTGTTGTTTAGCCTACAAACCCGTTGTTGCAAAGTTGTTTAGGTAAAATGCAATTAAAACAGGGCACAATAGCAGTCGAATTGGACGTTTTGAATCAAATCTTAATATGGTAGCATTATTGCATCAACGCATTTAACTGCACGTCTTTTTTCCTCCCTTATCAACAATGATCACAAATCATTGTTGATAAGGATGACCCTGGATGTTTCTGTTCTACATATTCGTTTTCCCTCACCTTTTTCGCAATATCTGTTTTATCGTCTCCATGCTTGACTGACAGTGTCGCGTATTTTTAAAAATGATTGACAGGCTTGGCTAAACCGCAATTCAAATACTTGCATGTAGTCAAACATCCATCCACATGATGACGCACTAGTTCTTCTTTGCAAACGGAGGGGTTGTTTTTGTGGAGCGAGCAACTGAGTAAATAAATGCGGAGGCTACCGAGCTTATGCTTATATCCCATTGCACGTAAAAGCGCGGATTCGCTCTCTCACTTAAAAAAAGTCAGAATGGTCAAGGTCGTAGAGTTGTTTTAAATGCTGCAATTTTGTTAAATGCCCAACATTGTTTAAAATAATTCGGGTCTTCTCGGGTCCATTTGGAAAAGGCATATTTATTTTAAGTTACCTGAGACCCGATGCCACTAATACCGAACCCGACCCGTGTCCGAGACACTAGTCGGAGTTTTGGACCCGAACCCGCTCGGGTCTCGGGTCGGACCTCGGGTTTTCGGATCCAAGTGGACCCGTGAAGATCTCTAGCTCTGACTGAAAGAAGTTTGCCCTGAGACCACAGGATGACCTGGTGTGCCAATCTGCATAGAGGGCATCTCAGGCCTCCCTGACGATTTATATAAGAGACCACCGATGTAGTGTTTGTCCATACTAGAACATGATGGCCTAAGAGGTCTGGAAGAAAGTGTCTGAGAGCCAGAATTACAGCCAGCATCTCCAGGCAGTTGATGAGAGAGCCAAGAGAGATGGTGGTCCTTCCAGAGACCCCTGGTGTAGCGGCCTTCCATAACCGTACCCCAACCTGTGAAAGAAGCATCCGTAGTCACAACCTTTCTTTGACATGGTGCCCCCAGCACAGGACCTAGGGACAGGAAAAAAGGTTTCTTCCACAATACCAAAGAACGAAGGCATCTGCACATTACTTTGATAGTTTATTTTTACCATGAAGGGTTAAGCGTCAGGGGCAGACAAGGGCAAAACAAGCAAAATAATCTTTTTTTTTTTTTTTTAAATAACCTCAAACAAAAGAAAGAAAACAAATACAGTTTAACTTACCTAACTCCCTTAACCATAAACAAG